CCCTCTCTAAGTCTGTCCTTCAAGGCCTTTTGGCTGACAGGGTCTCCTTGCACAGGGCCCTCTGCTGAGAGTCCCCCTCAATCTCTTCAGCTGCACTCGGCTTCAGCCCCAGCTCCACTGTGCCTCCAACTCCCTGGTTGCTTTTTCAGGTGTTTCTGGCTCTGGTTGCTGCAATTCTCCTCCCAACACAGGTCTGCTCTCTGGGCTACTTCTGTGGCTCTGCCCTAGCACTGACTTACTTCAGGGGATGCTTTTGTTGCTGTAGCCCTGCTCTCTGCTCCCTGGGCTCCTTTGCTGGTTCTCTCTGGAGCCTCCCACATCCAGGCCTTCTGACTCCTTCATTAGCCTGTTTGTCCTGTCAGGCTGGCCTGGAGCACTGGCCTCTCCCCATTGTTCCTTGGGACTATTAGTCTTAGGGTCCTAATTTCCCATCAACCCTTTCTCTTCCTTTGGTACTAGGAGCTGGTCAACCAAAAATCCCACTGAGTTTTAGTAAGGGGCCAAGAGTCCTCTTATATCAGTAAGCTAACTGAATGTAAACTGGAATCCGGTTTCTTAAGAAAACCGGCTTCTCTTTCATACGGTTGCTTGTTAGAGTAGAACCAAGGTTTGCATTCTGTATGCAATATTATTGCAGACAATTGGACATTAGAGATGGAAGAGGCTTGACACAGTTCAGGGCATCTGCACTTAACATCTATCATCTTGAAGGGTATCCCCTTAGGCTTTCTGCTTCCCAGCTGTTGCCTCTCTTGGGTAGAGACACATGTGTCTCTTCTTTCTGGCTAAGGTATTTCCACACTTCACAGTCCCCTGGCTATACTATGAAATTCTCCACAATAGACAGACTGCCTGAACAGGCTTTCTTCTCTTTGTTTTCAGAGATGATACACAGTATAATTGCCACAGGTTTGAGGTTCCATGCAGCTTTTTCTAAGCAAGCATGCTTTAGTCTTATGATAAAAGCATTAGAGTGAATTAATTAAAAAAAATAAACCTACATGAATACTAATAAGTTTACCAGAGACCCATCCTCCTCCTCCCAACATGGACCTTTGCGGTCCTTCAAAATCCCAACATTGGGTTTTCACATGGATCCAAAGTCATAACATCCTTTTGTCCAGAACGGGAACCCTCATGAATTTGAGAGTCACTCGTTTATCCTATTTGGGCCTTTGAAGAGACCACGAATAGGTAAGCAGACAGACATTGCATTTCTGGTGAAGGCGAAGCTTCAAAAGGATGGACTTAGAGGCAGTTGCATTCCCCTCACCTCAGGTATTTGCTAGAAAATCTACTTCATGCTTACTGTCCCAAAAGTTGAAGTTCCTGTACTTCTCAGAAATTGCATTAGTCAAGTCTACAAGAGAAGTGTCATACAATACCAAAATACCATATAAATAATTTCTTTTTTCATACAATGAAGCCCTGAAGGCATTAAACTTAATTCAGTAAAGTTTATCTTTATTCTGTAATGTTTGTACAGGATGTTGTCTGATCTCTCACAAGGCTTTCACATGCTACAGTACTTTTCTTCCGCAGGCAAGGGGATATGATGGTTTTGTCATCTTTTGGTTTAAATGCTGCATAATTATCACTAAGTTTTTAGGTGTTTAAAATAATAATTTACATTTAGCTACTTATAAGTATTGAACCTGATCACCTGATACATTGTTGTAATGTGAACACTATACATTTTCATAATCATTGATGAAAAATAAATGTATTTATTGCATTAGTAAAGAGATGAGCAGTCCAGCAAACACGGAGACAAAGTGACATAAACAGCAAAATACATCACCAATCTCATCATTCTGTGAAACTTCTTACATAGCTTTCATGACATTTTCATTTTAACTAGTTCAGGAATTAGCTGCCAGGAACTATAGCATTATTTAGTGTCAAGTTACTGTTTGCGAGGCATTTATGCAGAACAGGTAGCTGCTAGAGAAGTTGCCAAAGTGGGCAGACAAACATTCCATTGAGCGTGCATGATGGTAAAAGAATTGTTACAGCACTTGCCATTATGGCAAAATGATCTCGTAAAGGGAACATTGGAAGTGCAAATAAAGGGAGGGTATTGAAATGGGCATTTAAAAAGCTACAGGGTATTAACTAAGTTATTGTTCTTGAATTCTGTGTTGGTGTTTAATGGGATTAACTTTTTCTTACACATAGGACAGATGCCTTGCTTATGAAGCTGTCTGTACTAACAGGCCAAGAAGTGTTCTATGCTGCTCTCTGGGGGAGTGTTCTGGTCAGCCCTTCTATAAGACTTCCTGCTTCTCTATTTGTTGTGAGTCATATCAACAGAGAATTGCCTGGAAAACAGCAGAAGTACATATTGGGAACTGATTATAAGACCACAGTAAGTTAATTGCGTTTCTCGTGGGATATCTTGAACTGTCATTGGAAAATGGTGTCCTTCTCAGTACACATTAAAGTCCCAAGCTCTTTAAAGTATATCCACCAGAACGTGAATTTGCTCAATGAGATTAGCATATGGAGAATCTCAACTAAAAAATAATGAAAAATAACTCTTACAAATTTTGACCAATATATAGGATGGCAAATAGATAATCTAAAACCATGGTCAGTGATACATATAAGGAATGGATTGTTGCCTTTTTATAGTAAAACTGACTTAACCCCGTTGTTTAGTTGTATTGCATTCGTATTCAAAGACTCCAGTCAGAATTGAGGCTCTATTGTTAGTCACTGTACACAAACAATACAAAATCAGTATGTTTTACACACTATTTTAAAAAAGGGGCGGATGGGTGAGAGCCTATATATTCTTGCACTTAGTGAAAAGATCATCCTTTGTGACTACTAGTATTAGCTGCCTACCTATTGCAGTTGTCCAGAAGTGCTTGTGTGAAAATGAGTCTCTCCTAATTCTTGTTTCCAAAAACTAGGACAAAAATAGGAAATGACTGGAGAACCGTACATGGGAGAGTGAACTTCCTAAGGGTAGCATGTCCTTGATATTTTTTTAACCAAACTCCATTACAGTCCCAGCATTTCTGCAGTTTCATTGGTTACAGGACTATTAAGTACAACATTAAGGATCTGACTTGCTCTAAATCAGAAAAGACCAGAAAGGGAAAAATAAAACTGACATTTCCCATCTTTGGTTTTCCATTTTGCCTTTAGAGATGGAGCGTCAAACTCTGTCATTGTACATCAGATGTAGTGTTTTCAATAACATACAGCTAAACCAGACTAGCAGTAAACCCACAGGAGAACTCCAGTATATATTTCCTTTCTTTAAATTAAAAAAAAGTTTCATGGGTTTTAAATTATCTATCATTTTACCAGAAATACTGTAATAACTGTAACTACTTTTTAATACCTGCACCTTAAGTTGACACATCCTGATTAATGATTAGTGATCTAAAGGTTTATTTAGAAGAGAAAAGAAAGAGGGGAAAGTTCAAAAAGTCAAAGGAATCAACTATATACGCAAATTGCAAAGTTCTTGGATCAGGTTTGAAGCAGTGATGGAATGAACTACTGGTTGGATGTCTGTTAACATCCAAAAGATTGGAAGGACCATTGATTAGTCTGTTCCTTTTATTATAAATCCGTAGTCCACAGATCAGAGCAGGAAAGAGGCAAAATAGAAATGCTTCCAGGGCCTTTTATACTTTCCTCCATGTGGAGGGAAAACCTCTCAGTCTTATGCTATGTCTACCCTGTAGACCTTACAGTGGCACAGGTGGTTGCAGTACAGCTGTGCTACTGTAAGGTCTCTTTGCTGAAGGAGACTGTACTTTTCAAAAAACTAAGCAGCAATAAGGTGGGATCCAGAGATACATGAGCAAATAACATGCTGCTGCATGCTGTGATGAGTCCTACAAGAACCCATTACCCATATTGTGGCTAAAATATCTTTTGGAAGGCCCATTAGGCAGGGAAAAACTGCTTCTATGGCTCACTGTGTTCATTGATGAACCATCAAGTTGATAGGTCCATTCACACTGTGCTTACTAAACTATATATAAATTAATTTTCTTTTCATAGGGAGCAAACACATTTGAAATATGGGCATGCAGTCAATACTCATCACTTGAGATACAAAAATGACATAGAAACAGGATAATCCTATTCACTAAATCACAATTTTTCCATTGACACCTTGCATGACGTACTTTGTACAAGATTTGTTGCAATTGTTTATCATTGTTGCTACCACTGTTATAACTGTCATGTTTTAATCCTAAAACAACATGCCAAGTAAAGGTACTGATGATGGAATTCCTATTAGATGATAAGATAATGAAAATATTTGTTAGCACTCTACAATCTTTATATCTTAGGCAATGATAGCAACATAAATAAAATTGTATTTATGTTTTTCTCATATTACAGGTTAAATCATTGCGTGCATCAGTAATGGATTCAAATGTTCTCGTGCAAAGAAACACTTTGGAAGTGCTTCTCTTCTTTTTCCCATTTTATACATCTTTGGTAAGAGTCACTGAATGTCATTATGATTACATTTTATTGCATGAAGGGTAAGATCTTACTGAGGGAAGATTCTTGTAGGATCCTAAATATTCCTGTGACTCCATACCAGTTGTTTACTCTTTCCGAGGATATGTCTATCTGGGGGTAGGGACCAACAACCCTTAAGAAATAAGTCTCCGAACCCACAGGCTTGAGCTCATGGGACTTTATGTTGTGGCTCTAAAAATAGCCATGTAGACATTCCAGCTTGGGCTGGACTTTGGTTTCTGAAGCCTTGGGAGGGAAGCAGGTTCTAGATCCTGAGCTCCAGTCCAGACTGGAATATCTGTAATTATTTTTCGTGCTATAGTTTAAGGTCTGCTAGCACAAACCTATAGACCCAAGCTCTGAGAATTGATGCTGCAGAGTTGGGAAAAGGGGGGGAAGTTAATTCCTTTCCTTCCCCTCCCCACGTAGATAAATCCTTACAGTCTAATTCTGCAACCTTCACAGTTAACAGTTTGGCCATTGACTTCTGCAGGATTAGACATCCCCTTTTCCCCCATAAGTCCCACATAGTGATTACCATGCATTACGTCTGACAAACTTTGGTGTTTTTAAACTCCCTCTTAGGGGTTGCTAACGTAAAACGTGAAGAACTCCGTTCTGAGCAACAATGTATAAGAAATTAACTATACTTTTTTTTTTCCTAGCTGAGTTCTTAGGTGATTGGGATTGTCCTGACTAAATTAAAATTATTTACACTGTACCTGTAAAATCAAATACTTTGTCATTAAATAGATTTTTTTCCTTATTCCTTTTTGTATTTTCTCTCCTATCATCATCCTAGTGCTTAAGATGTCAGCTAATGTAATTTGTTAGTAAATAGCAAAATCGGTTAATTGCACTTGATGCAATAAAAATATGAAAATGATCACATAATTTTAAAGAAATACTTCAATGGATCAATTTCATTTTAAATGCAGGTTAGTTAATGATTTGCCCTAGTTCCCCTTTAGTAGACTAGATCTGTTAACATAGTATCGGATACAGTAGTGGAAAAGCTGGTGGCCAGTTAATTGTGAATTTTACAGTTAATCTACAGCTAAACTGTCTCTCTTCTTTGTCTAGGACTACAGTGAAAGCGCTATTCCACTGCTCAGGTCTGATATAGTCCATATTCTCTCAGCAGCTACCCAGACACTCTTGAGGAGAGACATGTCACTAAATAGAAGATTATATGCGTGGTTGCTAGGTACTGTGCAATGTGTGGTGACATTCAGTTTAAATATCTAATTTGTACTTTGTCCACTGTATTTCTAGAGGTAAATAATGGAAATCTCTTCATAAATGACTTTTTTTTTAATTGAGAGCTCTGTTATGCCAATATTTATTCAGTTGATAAATATATTGTGCCTTTTTAAACCTCTGTCTCTAACAAATACTTAATATCCCTCATCAAAGTTCAGTCTCAGACTGTCTGTAACAGATTTGGGGGATAACTTTAGTCCAAGAGCAAACATCCCTTTGAAGCAGAAATATTCTTTATTGTCTGTAAATCTTGATTTACATTCCAAAGCATTGAAGAGTACCTACAACAATTTTGTACAGATATGATTGTTAAATTGCAGTATATGAGTCTCAGTCAAGTTGTGCAAGTGTTGGTTTAAAGTAGTGAATAAGAATCTTACCTCAATTAAAATGATAAAGCTATTGCTTCAGTTAGTAACATTTGTTAGTCTTCCATTTGTAAGAAATTTTTAATACCAGGCTGGCTAGGTTGTCTTTTGCCAGTGCAGTGTTCTGTCCTGCAGAAAACTGATGCTGGATCAAGAGCATTAGTCATAAGTCACAAGGCTGTCAGGATTTTGGGAGAGTCACAGAAAACAGCATGACGAAATCTTGGCTCTGTTGCCATCAGTAGCCATATTCCCATTGATGTCATGGAACCAGCATTCCATCCAGTTGCTTAATTTCTCTGGTGAGGGAGGAGAGCAGGGACAGACTATGATTTTGATAGCCTATCTTTCACTTCCAGAAGGATGCATTAGGCTAAAACCGTTTCAGTGATTGGAGGGATATGGTTATCTGTTGATAATGGTGCTTCTTGTATTACCATAGTGCCTAGGAATCCTAGTCCTTGACCAGCATCCAGTTGTGCTAGGCACTGTACAAGTACAGACTTAAAAGATAGTCAAAACTATCTTGGCATTCGGGGGGAAGGGGGGAGAAATGCGAGTAGTTGACTTCATTACCTGATAAGCCTAGGCTTATTGGGTAATCGACTACTCTTTTACATCCCTAGTCTAGGCCAAAGAGAAGGATGTTGCAATAATAGACATGAGCGCCTCCATAAGAGTTTTAGTTGTGAGAATGGATAGGATAGTATTTTAGATGTTATGTAGAAAAATCTGCATGATTCAGTATATTAGAGGACCTAGAAAGAGAGATGCATGTTACTCAATGGTTGGTCTCCACATAAGCACACATTTTTTTGCAGGCATTCAGCCTGGACTGGAGCATAAACTACATCTTAGAGTGAAATTCAGGTTAAAAAGAATATAATTGCTTCTAGTGTGTGTTTTATGGTATAAATGTTACATCAGTATTTTCTATACTCCTAATGTTTTTATTTAATTTGTAGGTTCTGATATTAAAGGGGGTACTTTTGCTCCAGATTCTGCAGCTTTTGAAGATCATGCCCTTTATTTTTTTGGGAAATACTCCAAAGATCTTTTAGTTGAGGTTGGTATTTATTCTCCATAACTTTTTATATTCTGTGTTAAACCTCAGAACAAACTGCCTTTCATCTTGTTCACTGTATGTCCTGCATGGCTTGCCTTCCTGAAGTGTAACAGACAGGAAGTGATCATTATTTTGTGGTCATTTGCCGGGAAGTCTGAACACATGCTGTGCTGTTCTGTTCCTTTTTAGAGCCCTGCAATGTAAAAGGAATCTAATGAAAACTGCCAGTCCCACCTTTGCTAGCTTACCTGAATTACTAAAAACAAATCTCGTTTATCCAGAAGTTTTCTAGCATATGTATTAAATGAACTGAAAAATTCCTTGATTACCTAAAATTAATAAAATGACCGCATCTCTCCTTAATAGTTGTCACCCTTTTTTGTGTTTTCTTTTAACAGGCTTTGATTGAAATATTACATCAGAAGTTCTCTGAGTCTGACTTAGAAGATCATGCACATCTGAAACCTTTCCGTATCCTAATTAGTCTCCTTGACAAACCTGAAATAGGTAATATTAAATATCACTACTGACACGGACTGCTAAGAACTGCTATGTATAGAAGGCTTTCTGCTAATCACCTCCAAATGGTGCAGTCCCTCCTCAGACCCCAGGTTCAAGCATCCTGTCCTATATGGCCGAGAAGCCCATCTGTTTCAACCTCAGTATCATGCTCAACTCTCTGCTGGGGGGGGGGGGAGTCCGTAGTACTTTCTACCAATCTGTCATTGGTCTCTGGTCTTCACCTGCTTCTGATCACATACCTTTTCCCAGGCTGCATAACTTCTCTGATTTTTAGGAAAGCAGCCAGTTCTTATCCCTCCCCAGTCACCTTCCTTATCTCATTTAACTCTGGGTATATCTACACAGCCAGGCTAAAAGTGGAATAAGTTATGCAACTTCAGCTACATCAATTGTGTAGCTGAAGTTGAAATAGTTTATTTTGGCTTTAGGCACTGTATGGATTTTGCCGCTGTACACACAGCAGGAAGTCGAAGGAAGAACACTCTTCCTTCAACTTACCTTACTCCTAATAAAATGAGGGTTACAGGAGTTGGAGTAAGAAGTCCTCTAGCTCAATATTATTTCAAAATAATGGCTTGTTGTGGAGATGCACACTGTGTTATTTCGGAATATCATCAGTTTGTAAATAATGCTGCTGTGTAGATGTGCCCTAAGTTTCTTGGGCAAGCTTCCCAACTTGTGTTTTTTCCTGGCAAGTTGCCTGCCTAGGGTCCTATAAAAAGACTCCCAGGCCCATCTTGGTCCTTCTGACCCTCCCTTGATTGGTCTGCACATCCTGTTTCCCTGCAGCAGTTATATCCTCAGTCTGTCATGTGCTCAAGGGATTCACAGTCCTCTCTGTAAACTGACAGTGCCTCACCCATAAAGAACTGGCTCATCCTTCTGCTCTATGCAGGAGCCAAGACTACTTACCTGACTTTCCACATATACCAGTATTTTAGAAAATCTGCTCAGGAAAGTATTTACTGTACTTGAACATGTGACAGACACAAGAAGCTCATGGGTAACTTGTGATTATTTGAGACTTCTGTATTCTTTGGCAACTTGTTGCTTACAAGTTCTCTCTTTCTTTCTTTCTGAACGAATTAAATGGCTGTAAACCAGCTCCTGTGGCAATTTTTTTTTAAATGTTGCACTGGGAAGTGGGCATACTAGAACTGAATTTTATCACAGTCTCTTGTATAGATGGTACCATAAACGAACAAGTCATATTCTGACCTTATAAATATTTAGCTGACAGATACTTAAATTCTTTTGTATTTGTCTGGCAGATTTTCCTGTTTCATGAATGGAGGAAAACATCTGTTTATTTCTCTTAATGCATTTGCCCCTCTGTTATTTACAAATTCAGCAATACATCAGATAGCATCTAAGGGCACATCTACACTGCAGGGCTAAAGCTGAAATAAGCTACACAACTTGAGCTACGTTAATTGTGTAGCTTGAGTCAAAATAGCTTATTTCAGCTATATGCGCTGTCTACAGCAGGAAGTCAGAGAGAGAGCACTCTTCCTCCAACTTCCCTTATGCCTCGTAAAATGAGGGTTACACGAGTCAGAGTAAGAAGTCTTCCAGCTCAATATTATTTCAGCGTTATGTCAAAATAACTGCTTGTTATGTAGAGGCGGACTATGTTATTTTGGAATAACGTCAGTTTATTCCAGAATAACACTGGTATGTAGACGTACCCAATGTGAAAAATCAGGATGCAGTTTGAAAACCGGGATGCCTGTATATTGTCCTTTATTGAGTGAAAAAAATTTTTGTACAGACTTCCCTCCTCCCCCAAAAGGTACTCAGTGTCCATTTGCCTACAAAGGAAGCAAGTTACTTCAATGAAAGCAATAATTCCTTCACGTGCTCAGTTAAATGTGACAGGATGCTTGCTTTTCTTCTCGGGAGGTAGGGGTGGCTTTCTTTGAGATACATTGTAACATAGGCAGCTTTATTTTAAAAGGTGTTTTCTTGGTTAATAAATATTTATATGATGTGATTGTTGTACTTAACCTTTTCTGAAGTGAAATGTGGAATAAATAGTCCAACTTTTCAAGCAACTTCACAAAAATTGTAAAATTATGGCCATCTCACATTCTGTTAAGGTGTACAAAACTAAGTTATTTAATTTTTGATCTCTCAGGTGCATCTGGATAGTAGTTTAAAATGTCATAAACCATTGTCTCATCCCTTTTTCTTACATAAGTAACCATGGAATGTACATTTTATTTATAATCAGAATTTCAGTTTTAGACGAAAAGCTTGTAAAAGATTACTGGGCTAATCAATTTGGGGTAATTATTGGATTTATATTTTCTTTGATTGCAGGGCCACAAGTTGTTGGGGATTTGTTCCTTGAAGTGATTCGAGCCTTTTATTCTTATTGCAAAGCTGTGCTGGGTTTGGATCTTAAACTTAGCTACAGTCAAAGTGGCAATGTACTTACAAGGTATACCATAACCATTTTCAACTAATACTTGCAATTGTGTCTTTCATAAGAGAGCTTTTATTCAGCTAAATTACCTTACAATCATATTTGCGTCAAACTAATAGTGTCTTTATGTACAAAAAGTTATTAATTTTTATGTTCTGATTTTACTTTTATATTTATTACATTGAGTTCTACTTGAGCATCACGGGATTGTTTTTGCCAACCAAGAAGATTTGAGATAATTGATTTAGATTATTGGCTGCTATCATCGTATTTATATACGCAGTGTTGCATAAATAAATATGTACACCCACCATGTGTGTGTTAGGTTTATTACTGAAAGGTGACCAGAGCTCTAATATTTTGTTCACAAAATCAAATTAAATGTTAAAGATTTGTCTTTTCTTCAGAAACACTTGTAAAACTTAGCTATTCCAAAATGGTTGTTTTGAATGAAGGAATTAAATGTCTATTCTTCAGGCCAACTTTCTAAGAACATATCAGATAATTAAAAATGTATATATTTGGTTAATCTTCACTGAGTGTTTTTGTCCTTCTTACAGTGCAATCAAAGAGAATAGAACTGCCTCCGAAATTGTTAAAACAGTGAACTTGTTGATCACATCCCTAAGTACAGATTTTCTATGGGATTACATGACCAGATGTTTCGAGGACTGCTTCAGGTAGATATGCTGTCTGGCATTAATGAAAAACTAAATTATATAGCTAGGATAACAGAGAAGTATCAATGAAGGAGTCAAAAGCTGGTGTCGTCATCTAAATCAAAGGGGAAAAGGGTTAGATACTGCACTAACCATATAATGCAAATAGTTAAATCTGAAGTAGCTGTTTACCTATCTGACCAAACCATGGAAATGTATTTTGTATTTACTTGCTAAAAAAAAAGCAACATGCAGGTTTTTGCTCCAAAAAACAAGCATGTTCATAAGTAGAAAGCAAGGCGATCATGTGGGATAGGATCATACTTATACAAGGATAATCTTTTCTGATCACTTTGGCTGAAAAAACAATGTATATAAAATACAGCATACAGAAGAATCTGGCCTAGTGTTTTCTCTCATTTCTACACAGCATGTAATTCAATATTAAGAGGTGCACAAGGTACATCTATTCAACTGTAATCAACGTTTTATTGGAAAAGTGCTTCCTCCAAATTGTGCAATTAAGCATGAGTGTGTTTTCATTCTACACCTCATTAGATAATTGGAAAAAGGTGTCCTGTCCATCAGCATAGTATTTAAGCACCAAAACTAGTATAACTAGCCCTGAAAATGAGCCATTTATTTATTCCATTATTTATTGGAAAAACTAAGACTACCATCTACATGTTTTGCTAGTCTTTAAGGTGCTGCTAGACTATTCGTTGTTTAAGTTTTTCCAAACTCGGCTCACCCTCTGAAGCCTTTATTTATTGATATGGCATAATTACATTCTTCCTTTACTCTGCTTCTGTTCATGCAAGTTTTATAATACTGTCTTCAGAAGATGAAATTCCCAGAAAATATCCCTTCATATACTAAACTACAAATAGCTGGGTGTTTCCTCATCACAGTAGAGAGGAATTAAACTAGCAGGTAGCATTGCTGAGAATTTAATATGAACCTTAAAACAGAAGAACCTGGTGCTTTATCTTGATCAGGATAATACAACATGGTGTTATATGTCCATTAACTGTTATGTGTGCAGTTTACAACTGTATCATAACTTTATGTAATCACCATAAAATGTTGATAAGAACTTGACTTAAATGGCCAAGCTGATGAATACAAACCCCCCCTTCCTGGCTTGTGTAGTTAGCACTGATGCCAATATACAGTTTGGGTTTAAAAAATAACCCTGCAGCAAATCTTGCATTTTGAAATAACACACTTCTATTTTCAATGCCAGGAAGAAATCCATGCAGACAAGTTATCTTGCTGAGAATACCAGCGCTCCTCCTACGATTTCAGAGCTTTGCACTCTACTGTTGTTCCTTCTTGATGTGATTCCTTTGGTAAGGCATGTTTGGTCTAAAGTTAATCATCCAAAGCCCTAACTCTCATTTTCTTTCCCTTTTTATCAGATACATTTCAGTTTCATGAAAGCATTGTTTTTAGTTCAGTAGATAATTTTTTATGCGGAAACTACATTTGCCTTTGAAAAGAAAACTGCCCACTGTTACTTGTGATTGGCCTTCCATTCAGAACCACATAATGTGATGTAAACCAAGAGCGGAACTTTGTTCCTAGTCTTCTTAGTAGATATTGGACTGAGATATTAACGAGGGTTTTACTATCTGCATTGTATGTATCCTAAAGAGAATGGTTTTGGGTTTCTTGGCTAATAGACAAATGTGGTTGGTTGTTTGTTTGTTTTAATTATCTGAAAAATATATAAATTTAGTGTCCCTCACTGTGGGAAATCAATATATTGAATTAATTAGATGACTTGCATACTAATAATGAACTTGTGAAAAGAAAAGAGAAAATTACTGAGATTTTCTAATACAGTATAACACTTATTGAAATAACACTGGTTTGACAGTTCTGATTTTTATCAGTCTTGCAAAGTTCTATATATTAACAGTACCTCATTTTAAAGGATATACAAGCCATTTATTGTCAAGGTCCCCCACCCCACCCCCCTCCACTGCTTGAGTAGTTTATTACTTTGGTGGTGTTGCAAGGTTATTATCAGTAAAATTCCATTCAACACTAGGATGTGGGTCTATATTCAGGACTGAGTGGAGTAGTAGCTCTATTTAAAGCAACCATATACTGCTTAATTCAGTGTGCTCATGTATTAGTCATACCTATGGTCATGGAAGTTAAACTTTATTTCAGGTAGCTTGACAATGGTAAAATCCATTTCTGTCTGCTAAGCCATTTAGCATTTAACTGTTTTAAATCCCTGCTTATTTTAGGAACTGTACTCTGAAGTGCAGACTCAGTATCTCCCACAGATGCTCAGTTACATGGTACAGTCCCTTCTGGAGAATGTGGAGATTCTAAGTTTACCAGAACTCACTCATGCTTTAAAAACCTGCTTCAAAGTGCTTAGCAAAGTACAAATGCCTCCTGCCTACTTGGATAATGAGACTGGAAGTGGAAACCTGGTAGGTATTGCTACAAGGCCTGTTGCATGTTTGCTTATAAATAACTATTCACAAATCCAAAGTGTACTGTCCATAAAATAATTCCCTTTATTAAAATAAGATATGCTATAGGGATGTAATAGTGTAGTCGATTATCCAGTAAGCAAAAGCTTACAGCAGTGGTGGCCAACCTGAGGCTTGCGAGCTGCATGCGGCTCACAAAGTAAAAAAATTGCAGCTCCTGATGGATCCAGGATGGAACCCAGAACCACTCAGGTCAGCTGCTCTCACAGCCAGGCTGCTGTGAGCCGCATGCATGCTCACGGCCTGCGGCATTCCGCTCACAGCCCCCAGCGCACTGCATCATATCCTGCACATGCAGGCCGGGTCGCACACAGCGTCCCAGCCTGCACCTGATAGCAGCCAGCCACTGAGCACAGGCAGTGGCTCCAGGACCTGGGCATAAGGTTGCGGGGGGAGGGGGGGGGGCACATGGTGTCCTGGATGCGGTGCAGCGGCTCTGGCTCCGAGACCCAAGCATAAGGTTGGGGGTGAGGGGGGATTGGGTTACAGCAGGGAGGGGAGGTTGTTCACGGCGTCCCGGCCAGCTCATGTTCAAAGCCGGCCACTCAGTTCACATGCCTCAGCACCTGGAGAGAGACATGTGGCTGAAGTGGCGGCGGCGGCTCTGGGACCTGAGAATTAGGTTAGAGAAGGGGAAGAGGATTGGGTTAGAGTGGGGTATGCGTGTCTGGCTCTGGGAAGTAGAGGAGAGGGGGATTGGGTTGCGGGGGAG